CTGATTTTGGTAAACACAGTTTACACAGCAGTGTCACAGCAGACTCCCTGGTCGAACATGTCCATCACAGCTGGACTTTACTGTTTTACTCAGGAAGTTCAAATGATTTCCTCTTCCTTCGGTTCAGAAGAGAAAAGCTCGTTATGATGCAGCTGCTTAGCAAAGGTCTACTTTGGAGAGCGTGCTGCGTATGCATGTGTGTAAAAAGTGAAACCTGACCTGTGCATACATAATGGACGGTCATGTCCTTTCTCATGAGACTGAAGCAGGGAGACATGCGTGCAGGGAAAGAGGGACGCCTCGTGTGTTTTGTACAGTACCTGCAAGAGTCGGTCAGCCTGACTTTTAAGATCCCCGTGAAAACAGCCTGCCCACCTCAGTGTCACAGACAGTCTGTGGTGCTTATCTGGACATCAGTGACCTCAGGTTACGAGATTATCCTAAAATTTGAGATCTGCTGGCGAATATCTGCTGAGCATTACAAAGCATTTAACAGCTGGTGTTTTCCTCAGAAGTTGATGGTTGGAGAAAGATTACAACAGCCATGTGTGCTGTAAATGTTGGTATATATTAATTCTAAGACTCAAAAATGAAACCACACATAATGGATACAGTTGCTGGAGGTGGTTACGTTGTTCTTGCATGCTCCGTCTAACACAATAACTACTGCTTACCTGTGACCCAGCAGATTTAGAGCCGGTTATCTACCAATCAGAAGGTCGGTAGTTGCTCTGTGTGAATGTTAGCCAAGGTATAGAAACGTCTGTTTAACTGGATGGATTCATGTAAAAAGCTCTTTGAGTGCTCAGAGTAGAACAGCATTCACCATTTGTTTGTTTTTTGATGTAATAACTGTTTACATAACTTTATTTTTCGTGCCCTCAAACTGATGCACCTGTTGTTTCCTCCCTCTCACCTATTTAGGTTTTTGGGCTGCTCCACTGGGCGCTGATAGCAGGCTCCTATGTAGTGGGAGGAGCGTATGGCTGGGTATTGTTTGTCGCCATCACTCTGTGGATCCTCACCACCGTCCTCTTCTTCGTCATCCTGTTTGGTGTCACACAAAAACTGCCTGCTGTCCCATGGCCCCTGACGGTATGTGAGAGACGGAGATGTTCCTTGGCAACATTTTATAAACCACCTGTGACTTCGGGCATCGTTTCAGTGCATTTAACTACTTAAAAGTTGTTACATTAGAAAAACCAGGAAACAAAGAATTAATTGTACCGCAGTTACAGTATAATGTGT